ATAACTTAGAATTATCATGGAATTTGGCAAAATTTGGATGAATAAATCAAAAGTAGGGCTATATACTTAATGGCAGGTCTATATACTGCTTGTTCTACGTCTTAGAATACACAAGCAGCGCAGTTTCGTCTACTGTGCTTAGTATGCTACATGAAAATCATGGTGTTTTCAGAGTCTGCCGTCTCACTTCAGGACATGAATCCATAAACTTAATTTCCAGAGCTACTCTGAGAGTTCACCACACAAGCATTTCACCATTTTATTTGATCAAGACTACGTATAATCATATACACACACAGAAACCCGCCAAGATGTTTGCTTTAACTTGAAATTATGACAGAAATATACTACTCTTGTACAATACAATATACTTCTCAAAGTAACGACAACAATAATAACAATACAGTTGACAATAGTTTAAAAATAATTTGAATTAGTATTTCTTAAGAAATATATATTACACAATATACATTGTGAATATTACACAATTTTTCAACCATGTTTTAATTGTTCAATTAAATTTTTCTTATATTTAAACAGTAAATCTCTGTTTTGTAGCACCTTGTTTGCCAAAAATGGAAGGAGTTATTTATGTCTCATTTGATTACATTTTAATAGATGAATTAAATTGTTAACATTTTATCAACTGATTTGATTGCCATTATGTTTTATAACAATTTTGTATTAAATATAAAACACAAAATCCAGAAAAATTCAAACAGAATTTCTAGGGAAAAACACATTGCATAGGACTCTAGTAGTAGTAGCAGTAGTAGTAGTAGTAGTGGCATTTATTTATTTATTTATGTATTTATTCAATTGATGAGCTGATTATTGAAATTGAATTAAACAATTAAAACTGAATCTAGAAAAAAAAAAGAAAACATGGAATTTGGGATAAATTAAAACAGAATTTGGAGGAAAGAATATAATGGAAGTCATAGGGCCCTACAGCTTGTTTGAGATCATCGGGAAGGAAAGGATGGCAGGTATGAGTGAAGTAACAGAGAAATCTGGGAACTTGAGGGCCATCGTAGGGCTGAGGGTGGGAAACTTGGGTGTGGCTCCAGGAATGCATGCCGCCCACAATGAGAACTGGAGGTCTGTGGGAGCCCAGCTGGAGTTGGCACACAGGACGACAGCCATGGATTAGAAACACATGTCTATCTTATTGACGGACCCCCCACCCCTTTCACATTCCCTCCTCAACTGAACATCTGCAGTGCCATGACCCAAAGTTAATAAACAGCTTGGAAATACATGTGGTTAGAGCTGTCTGCTTGGGTAAATGTTATGGAAGCACTTATGGACACACAATCATACACACTTTCAATACGAAAAAAAATATTCCATTAACATATTGTGTTTCGTTAAAATTATGCTTTCATTTTTGTGTTTGTCTCTACAGGATTTAAGAGAACGAGCATGAGTTTTCATTGGGAAAACTCCCAAAGCAATGAAAAGTGGCCCAACAATAATTCATATATGCCCCATGAGAAAGAAAACATTTAAAAATGGGTCAATAAATTATGAATTTTCCCTACAATAGTTCATGTTACATTGAAAACACGTCATCATGTTGGGACACTTACTGCAATGGTGTGTGGAGCTCCAAGGAGACTCTGATTAAAATATTGGCGAATTGACATGCGTGCAGCGCTGCAGATGTTTGAGTGAGTGCGTGTGAGTGTTAGTGGTTTGCCCTGTGGTGGTTTGTGGAATAGCGTCATGCTTTAGCTCATTAAGTGTGATAAAGTGTCAGATTGAGATACCTTAACAGCTAGTGTGTGTGTGTGTGTGCGTGTGTGTGTTCTTGTACATATGTTTCTGTTTGTGTTGATAGGTTTGAAGCAGTCTAGCATGGCCTGCGAACCTCCTTTGCCAAAATTTATCACAGTAACCATGGTTTCCACCAAAATACTACAGTTGTGTCTATATACCTGTGTAGAATTTGGTATTAGACACCACATTCATGAAAAATAAAGTAAGCAAAATGACAGAAACCTTCAGAAAGCGTTTGGAGGAGATACAGAATTAATTTATTATGGTATTAGAGTTTTAACAGCTGTAGTAACTACAATTTAGCATTTTTGCTACAGTGTTACCAAGATGTTGTTATACTTTTGCTAGAGTGGGTTTTGTGTTGCTATGCAGTGGTTTTAGCATGTTGTGGCTGTTAGCTTGTAGCTAGGAAGTTGCTAAGGTATTCTGGGCCATTATGTACTGTCTCAAGTCAAAAGAGCAGTGTACATTTTCCTGTTTTTCCTGAAAATTCTGTGAAAAATGATCATAATTGGATTTCAGATATCATTTATGTTCATAGCACAAATGGTATTAATTACAGTTTTAAGAGTTAAACTTAAGCAATAGTAATAGTTATGCATGTCTTATCTCATTGTATATACACAAGGAAAGTAAGGTTGTTGCTGGAGGTATTTGTTTTTGTGTGCATGCGGTATGATTTCCCTGGATGAATTTCGGGTCTGAATCAAAAATCAGTCATTCTTAACACAGGCTCAAAACTTTCCTCGCATGAGTGAGATTCAGCACTTTGAGTTCAGGGCAACCTGACTAGCAAAACAAACAGAGCTAATGCCAAGCAGAGTCTGCTCATAAAATCAGCATGGATATTCCACCACGCTCCAAAAGCAGCACAAAAATTCCCAACGTTATTTGGCTTCGCTGTTTTATGATGGCGCTGGTTGTTATTTTAGAGTTCGGCCTAAACTGTGAGGGGGTTTAATGCAGGGCGTTTCCCACTGTCTCAGCTGAAACACACACAGACTCATTGTTTTTGAGATAGGGCAGGGGAGAGCTGCTTGCTCAAACATTTCAAGTCTGCCGCAAAAGCTGTGATCTTTTCTGCTGCCTCGATTTCGGTCTGTCCTTCACAATGGAGCCGCTTGTGTTGTGCTGCCGTTATCAGTGCTGGCCAGCGTGTGCGTGTGTGTATAATAGGAGGGTGATGACAAGACTGCAGGTGTAGACCCTGCCTTCTCTGCAGGTGGAGGAGAGACACTTTTACCCCACCTCACTACAGCTCAAAGCAAAATGAGATCACAGGGGCCAAAAACTCTTTTTTTGAAGAACTCAAGGACTTCTCTTCTCTTCTCCTCTCCTTTAATTTTTTCTTATGTAATCTTTTATTATTAATTTATGATTTGGCAAGAGATTTTATATAATTTAGAGAAAATTTGTGTTTATGAGAACAACTTGTATTGATGGAGAACAGCTTGTTTTAAAATTGTAAAACATTTTGATTTTGGGAAAAATGCACACGCACACATACACACATTGTTCATTTTATTTTTTAATTCAAATTTTTGTATCTTATTTTTAAATACTTTTGGAATTTATTAGTGACTATCTCATTCAAATGTCTTCTGTTTTCTTGTCTTGTCTTGTCTTGTCTCTTTTCTTTTCATGTCTTATCTTTCCTCCTCTTTAAACAATTAATGAACAATTTATGATTTGGTTAGAGATGTAATATATTCTAAAGAAATTACACACACACACACACACACACACATACATATATATTTAGATATATATACAGTATATACATATTTTCTATCAACTGTCTCTTCTCTTCTGATCTCTTTTCATCTGTTGTTTTCTTGTTTCTGTCCTCTTCTTTCATCTAATCTTTTCTTTGGCATCATGTCCAATTAGTGTTTTTCTGAATAATTATAGTCTCAAAATGGCTATTTTATTCTGAAATCTTTGTTTTGAAGACTTGATCCCTTGTTTGATGTCTCATTCTAAACAACAGACAAATAAGAACAAACAACAGCTTTTAAATAATCTATTCGGCTACAGAATACATAATGTACTGTTGAGCCGTTTCAGCTGCTTGTTTTGTATTTGTTTATCTGGTTCTATGCAATATATGTGCTTATTTACGCACAAAGCATCCTCTGCGGCCTGTGATACAACAGCTTTCTATTGTTCCACAGAGCAGCTGAAATATCGCAGTGCAGGTGAGAGCACGCGGAAGAGAAAGTGTTAATTTTTCTCTGCCAAACTAACATACTTTCAGAGGTGACTGTAGAGTCATATCGCCGGAGGGCAGGATTACTCCGAACAGTTGTCTGGACTCCACAAAGCAAAAACTCCTCCTCCTGCATCTATCATCGCTCTCTGCCAGATCCCATCATCCAAGGAGTTTGCGCTCGCTTTAAATTAGTTTTTCTGGTTGCCGAGGAAACCAAATTAAGTTTAGCTTAGCTGTGGCACATGGGAATTTGTTCAACTGGAGAGCAAAATTTCCTACTCTTCAAGTGTGTTCGGAGACTTCAGAGAGGTGTTCCACACCCTGCAATTCATATTGCCGTCATGACTGAGCGAGAACATTGAAGTGTTTCGCTTCAGCGCCTGCCATCCTGCTTTGCACTTTTGTAAGAGAACTATTTTGAACTCTCCGCTCGCCTTTTGCATGAACCGGCCCCTCTGGGTCGTAGAGGAGCCTTCTCGCTTTGCTTTCCACGTTTGTTAAGAGATAGTAAGCGAGATACACACTTCAGTGAGCACCAAAAATAAACAAACAATGTTTCGAAACAATTCGGCTGGCGCAGTCAATGCCATTTAAGTTATTTACTGTCTCAATCAGGTCATTTATTATTTTGCAAATATTAAACAAGACGCTTTGAAGACCTGCCAGGGAAGTTGTTTTGATGGTGGGGATTTGAGAGGATGCCCGTGCCAAAAGTGGAGTGTCGAAGACATAATGGAGGGGGGGGGGGCTTGCAGGAAGTCGAGGGGGGTTGAACTTCAAAAGGTCATTGGATATTCCTCCACCGCTCTGTGGGCTCGGTGTGGGTGTGATACCTGCGGTGTAACATTTCCCTCTCTGTTCAAAACACACTCCACATTCTTTGCCGAGGTCATGACCTTTCCATCAATCGTACTGCGGTTGACCTATGGAGGTATCCGTATTCCTCCCTCTCGACTAGCTGACTGATCTTTTATATTCTTCTGTGTTTGTTCCCTCTCCTCCACAGTCCCGACGGAACCGCTGCTGTGCAAGTTTGCAGACGGAGGACAGAAGAAGAGGCAGAGTCTGAGCAAGTACCCTCAAAATGGCCGACCGTGGCCTCGGGAAGGAGAGGTGAGCGTTGGCATCCTCAAAGACCTACTAATATCGGTCTGTCTATCTGTCTGTCTATCTATCAATCTGTCTGTCAATCGATCTGTTCATAAGCCAGTTCATAACTTGGCTTTTTAATAAAAATTGCATTTATATTAATTTTATATATTTTTCATTCTACTTCCTAACATCCTGTTTGCTGTGTCTGTTCAAATTCAATTCAAATGCAACCATTTGAATTCAGCCTCAATTCAGTTCCAAATGACACACAACCTGATCCTATGTACTTACCTTTTCCACGCCAGCTTCTGCCCTATTTTCCCCCCGCATTCCCTTTCCCAAAATACCCAGCCTTGAAGAAGGGAGTATGTTGGAAACAACCCCTTTGTTTCATACTTAGGATGGAAGAAAGGGAGGCGGGAGAAAACATTTGATTGATGGAGTCATCTGGCCATGTTTAAGTTCCCAGTCTTTCACTCAAGTCCTTTAATCTCTCCTCTCCTGTTCTTATTCTTGCAAAGCAAGTCGCGCCGTCTGGGTTGGCTGATGGGAAAATGGCGGCCGGGTGAACAACTGGCATTTTCTGGGCAGCCCCAGCTGCTGGCATGACGCGGCAGTTCAGGGAAGCGTGCCCAGATACCGACCAGACCGTGATCGCCCATTATGGGGAGCTAGCAGTCACCATGATTTTGGCTGCACGCTCTCATGAAGGCGTATTTCAATATGCAACCCCAGGGGTCCACATTAACTAGATCGAGTGTCCAGTCACACGTAAGTTAGGTCGATGGTTTTCCCACCAGTCTCCAGGTTTTCTCCCCCACTGAGGAAAACTTGGCGCCTGACAAAGCTGCAGTATATGAGCGTTGTTTATCTGCTCCAGTCCAATACGGGTCTAAGCGGTCAGCTTTCCCCCCTTATTCACTTAGCTAGTGTGGCTCTGTCAACATGAGCTATGCTTTCTGCAGCCTTGTAAATACCAAATAACTTTGTGCAGTATCGAATCCGAGCCTGTCTGGTATTACAGCCCAGCGCTCTGAGGTAATAGATCCACAGCTACAAGTCTCGGCCATGTGCTTTTAAAGATATAAAGAGCACTTGGCCGGCCCCTATTAGATGACCCTGTTCTATTGCCAGCATTACTCAATAGACTTTATAGGATACTTGCTTCACCAGAACAATCTTTCACTCTTTGTCCTGTCTGTGTTGTGTTTCAGAGTGGCATGGCGCTGACCTATGATCCCACTGCAATGCAGAACGGGTAAGAGAGGGTCATTTGTTGTTTTGAGTTTTCAATGCTTGTTAAGGTTGTCCGAGGGTAAAACGATGAACTTAAGCTGTAGCGGTGAATCCATCCTCATACCAGTGATTCCTGCTAAAAAATACCAGCAATACAACAAAAAGTACATTGTTGTGTTTTGATGATATTGTTATTATGCTTGTCTGAGGCTTCCTGTAACGTCTGACATATTAAATAATATATTTTTAAGTGTTTTAGAAAGAAGTTTCTTATGATTTTTTTATCAGAATACAGTAAAAGCAGTAATATTGTAAAATATTACAATTTAAAACAGCTGTTTTCTATTTGAATATATTTAAAAATGTCATTTATTCCTGTGGTGGCAAAGCTGAATTTTCAGCATCATTACTCCAGTCTTCAGTGTCACATGATCCTTCAGAAATCATTCTAATATGCTGATTTGCTGCTCAACAAACAGTTAAATAATTTTGTGATACAGGATTTTTTGATGAATAGAAAGTTCAAAAGATCAGCATTGATTTGAAATAAAAATATTTAGTAAAGTGTTTTTACTTTCACTTTTAATGCATCCTTTAATACAAGTATTTATTCTAAGTATTTAAGACTCCAAATTTTGATTTCTTTTTTTTTTTTTTTTTATTCCAAATTTTTTTGGTAGTGTATAAATATGCATATATAAAAATACATACAAAATATCAGTATATCTTAGTAAAATTGTTTCAATTTGAAATGTATTTAATTTAATTATTAAATGGTTTTATTATCATTTTATGTGGGCATAATACATTTTGAAATGCATTATAATTATGATTAAAATAATATGCCTCAAATTCTTGCTTGGTATTTGTATCATATTTGATCAGTTTTCAAACCAGTTTTTCTATTAATAATGTTTGAAAGATGAACAGTTGCTTGTAAATATGCATTTTGACTATCAATAACTAAATACAAGTTATTATTTGTGTTAATTTATCAACATTTCACAAAAAAAAAAACATATATCAACACAAAGGTGGACATTTTGAAAAAGGGAACTAAAAAAGTCCTTCTACTTCCTGAAGTATATGAATAATCCACCAGAGGGCAGAAGACATGTGGTACATCATATTCAAAAGCTTTTTTTTTCAGGAAGGTACTGATCATGTTAATGAGACATACAGCTTTAAAGGGTCAATTAGCTTAACCACCAAGACTTCCTTGACTAACCATCAATTTGGTCTATTCAGCAGTGTTAACAACATCTGAGGAGCTCTTGTTGAACATTGTTGCACCGAAGAGTGTAAGAGTTTCGTCAGGTGCTGGTTTCAGGGCAGGAAGATACTGGTACTGGACTAGGGGAAATAAGACCCTTTCTATCTATCCGCTCCAGTGGACGGAAGGCCCAGGGCTCTGTCTCTGATCCGGCACTCTGGGGAAACAGTCATCATCGTACCTTGGTTACCAGCTCCGGCTCCTTCTGCACCCCTGACTCAGCACTTGCTGTCTGCGGGAAAGGGAATGAAATAAGGAATGACAAAAAAAATATGCAATCGGGGAAAAAGCGGCGGATTCTGAAATGCTTTATTTGTTTCCTTTCTCCTTTCCAGCACTTCTACCACATTAGTGTATATATATATATTAAAGTGAAAAGTGACGTGACATGTGGCCAAGTATGGTGACCCATACTATGAATTAGTGCTCTGCATTTATCCCATCCAAAGTGCACACACACAGCAGTGAACACACACCGTGAACACACACCCGGAACAGTGGGCAGCCATTTATGCTGCAGCGGTGGCCAAGTATGGTGACCCGTACTTGGAATTAGTGCTCTGCATTTATCCCATCCAAAGTGCACACACACAGCAGTGAACACACACCGTGAACACACACCCGGAACAGTGGGCAGCCATTTATGCTGCAGCGCCCGGGGAGCAGTTGGGGGTTCGGTGCCTTGCTCAAGGGCACCTCAGTCGTGGTATTGAAGGTGGGAGAGAGCGCTGTACATTCACTCCCCCCACCTACAATCCCTGCCGGACCGAGACTCGAACCCGCAACCTTTGGGTTACGAGTCCGACTCTCTAACCATTAGGCTTATTTCATTCCCTTTCCCGCAGACAGCAGTAAATATATATATATATATACTGTATATATATAGTGAATTCATACAGTCGGCATAAATAACAGTATAGTGCTAGGCTAAAAAAGGATTGCACATTAACGTAAACTGGTGTGTAAAGCTTCACATTTTAACCCTGCTTCAAAGATTGTGTTTCCTTCTTCCTGGACATGCTCTCACTCAGGTCGTCTTGTATGACTGTGACATAAGGGAGTATGAGCTCTCTGGGGCAGACAGCGTTTCTCTCCCCATGCTCCATTTCTCAGCTGCCAGACAAGCCGATCAATAAAGCCTAGCAACGGAGCTTGCAGATAAAACATGTCCGCAGTAGGTCCTGCTCGAGAACTGTAGCTATTGGAAAATGCTGTTGCTCGGGTAAAACCGAGAAGTCAACAGATTAACTGTTGTGACACAAGCCTGTGTAGATAAACACACAAATATATAAAAGATTTCTATTTCAAATAAATGCTCTGCTCTGTTCTTTTAAAGTCTGTGTGAACCGGAAGTTGCTGCCGACTTCATTTCAGTGTAGTAACGTATTTCCAGCTGAAACGGAATATGGAATAGAGGGCGTGGTTTTATTTTTGCGCTTAAGTATATTCTGCCCAAGCCGTCAAACAGAAGTCATCAGAGAAGGAATGCCATTCCAGAGCAGAAGTAAATGTTCAGATTTTGATTAAAGATTTCCAAGACAAACAATTTTTTTCAGCGGATTAACTTGCAGGGATTAATTGTTCACATCAAGACTAGCTATGTGCGCTAGTAAAGTAAATAAAGTCAATTTTGATTTCATGCCAACTTTAAACTTTTCTATGAAGCAAAACATCCTGGAAAATAAAATGTATCATGCTTTCCACAACAAATATTCAGCAGCACAAATGTTTTCAGCAATGATAATAATAATAAATGTTTCTTGAGCAGCAAATCAGCATATTAGAATGATTTCTGAAGGGTCGTAATATTACTGTTTTTACTGTATATTTGATCAAATAAATGCAGCCTTGGTGAGCGTAAGAGAGTTATTTCAAGAACATTAAAAATTCTTAACGACCCTAAACTTTTGAAAGTAGTGTGAAAGAAGTAAATTATTGTAAAGCTGAAGTAAATTATATACTTTTAAAAAAATAATTTAATACTTTACAGTACTAAGTGTGTTAATACTGTTAATGTTACATGTACAAACTTCATATTCAATTAAAATTATTTTTGTAGCACATTTCTCAAAAATGTGCTGGTTACATGTTTTTTTTTTCCTCTTAAATTTTGCGCAGACCCTCTCAAAGATGTAACACTCTTGTTTTATACAAACAGAACCAACAGTGTTTTTGTGTATCTTACAGGTTCTACTCCTCACCATACAGCATCTCCACAAACCGCATGATCGCTCAAACGTCAATCACTCCATTCATCGCAGCCTCTCCTGTCTCCACATATCAGGTATGATCACAGCATTCAGAACAAACACATGCTGCAGGCAAGCAAACTCACATGTTTACATTTATACAGTGGTCCTTAGAAACATTTGGACACTTAAGATGTCATACTTACAATATGCATTTGTTTTAAAGACTGATAGCACAGTTCCTCAAGCAAAACATTTCACAAAAAGTGTGGTGTGTTAAATTAATTTAACACTTTCTGCTTAAAAATAATTACAATAATTCCTAAGAAGAGTGTAATTTGTTCTGAGAAGAGATTTAGCACCAGTTTTTTTTTTGCAGATGTTTGATATCTAATGCAATGACGTTTAGGAAATTTGAGTGTCCAAATGCTTTTGGAGCCACTGCATACAAACACAATTACATGCAAACACAAACGCAATTTGTGTCACACACATATGAGGAGAGCATGTGGAGGTATAGCGTGTTTTCCATCACTCTCTGTGTTTGCTCTCATGTTAGGAACGCTTATTAACGCTGTTCTCCAGCCCTGCAGTCAGACGGAGTGAGCAAACAGTGACTATGAGCATCCTTAATTGATTTGGCTTAAGCTAAACCAAACAAAACATTGCTGAGCGTAGAGAATAGCTAAGCCCTTTAGATCATGTACCTCCCGTCCTTATGAGAACCTCGTCCTCGCGCAAACACACCGACACACACATATGCGAGCACAAGTGCACATATACAAACCACCCACGCTGACCGGAGCGGCGCCTTAGTCTTTTAGTTTGCGCTCTCTGCCGCACGTTTGTTATGATAAATTCTGCACGCCACCAAGGTTATCTCTTAATCAAATTTCGTGATATCATGTGCAAAATTGCCCCGCTGGCCGGCGAATTAATTTTTAAATTGCAAACTGTGCTGAACCCGCCAAAACGAGTTCAAAGCCAAGCTGACAGGAAATCAATGCGCTACTACCTTTATTTCTCCCCTAGTCTCTGCTAGAACTTCGAGAATGGAACAAGAGACAACTGTTTCCATCTCCGGCGAAAGGACAGAGAGAAGGAGAGAAAGAGGGAGAGCAGAGCGAGAGCATGAATCTTTTAACAGTCGGGGAGAGAGAGAGACGAGGTGTGTGCTTACACATCTTAATGGACTTAGTGTGTTGAGAGAGAGAGAGAGAGAGAGACGCCTGAGGCGGATCACAGTGATGAACAAATCCCAAAGGCTTTTCTTCCTAGAACAACATAAAAGGACACCGCATATAAATTTAGACACCTACAACCGTTCAAACACACATTCACGAAAATAAATGCATACATCCATCCTCTCAGACAGGAAGTGGCCAGTTATTCTCAGTCCGTGTGGTATAAAAATAATACGCGTAACTGTGTTATTTTAGTGTTGTTGTTTTATTTATTTTATTTATTTAAGTTAAAGTTTTTGTAATTTTATTGTGCGTGTTTTTCATTTTTATTATCATTTTTTAAATGTCTATATAGATTTTATTCATTTTTATTTCAGTTTTAGTTATCTATTTGTTGTGTGCATAAATATATAATTATATCATGTATAAGTTTATAAATATATAAGTTATTTTAGTATTGTTTTTAGTCTTGATTTTTATTTTTATATTTTCAGTTTTCATTTTGATTTTAGTTATAGTTTTTGTAACTTGGTTGTGTGCGTTTGGCATTTTTATTGGTTTGTTTTATATGTTTTAAATGTTTTAGATATAGTTCTTATTCATTTTTATTACAGTTTTTGTTTTATTTATTTTAGTCTCTTCAGTGTGTGGTATAGAAAAAAATAATCAAGCTTATCAGTGTTATTTTAGTATAATTTTTAGTATCTTTTTATTTTTTATTTTCATTTTTTATTTTTATTTTATGGAAAGTTTTTGTAATTTTGTTGTGTTTTGACATTTTTATTAGCTTTTGTTCTTTTTAATGTCTGTAGTTTTTATTCATTTTATATCAGTTTTAGTTTTATTTATTTTAGTACATCAAGTTTAACTAAAAGAAAATGATAAATGTTGCCTTGCCAGCTAGCTGAAATAAAAAAATGATTTTATTTTATTTTATTTTAGTAAAGGTTTATTTTTATTGCAAGTAACGAAAATTATTTTTATAGTTTTAGTTTTAGTTAATTATAGTAACCCTGTCCTAAATGTAGTAAATGTAGCTGCGAGAATTACTATGGCGGCGAGATGAAAGGAGATATTTTTTGGGGTCCAAGTCGGCCTTAGATGATGAAATTGCTGCCGCAGAGCTGTAATTAGGAGGCAATATCGCTGTCTGTAGAATTCCGATCCCTGTGTAATTATCACACTTGTATTACTTGCTCCTGCCTTGGCTGTTCTGTGGGAATCGGGGCTTCGAGGCAGCGGGAGGAGGCGTAGGAGGGGGGGTGAGGAGTGAAATTAAGAAATGCTGGTTTCCTTCCACAGGTCCAGAGTACGTCGTGGATGCCTCACCAACAGTACGTTATGCAACCTACGGTAAGTGCTGCTGAGGAGTGAGGAGGTGTTCATTTATCTTGGTGTGTGTGTGTGTGTGTGTTGGGGGCGTGAGGAAACAGACAGATAGAGAGGAATGAGGAGAGGGTGAGAGTTATTTCGTTTATCTTTGTGAAAGAGTGGATGTTCTGTGAGATAAAAAAAAAAAAAAATGCTGGGGATCTTTACCCTCATTGCCCTCTTGTGGCCCAGCAAGTAAGCGCAGGGGTGGTGAAAGGGGTGTTTATATGTGTTTATATAGTTCACCCAAATATTTAAAATTTTTGATCATTTACTCACCTTCATGTCAATTCAAATCAAGTTTCTTTCTTATAGTATGTGGAACTTAAAAGGTGAAATGCAAGAATATATGTAAGGATGATTGAGGACAGGGGCAGTCAGGCTCCAAAATGACAAAACAGCATAATAAAAGTGTTTCACACAACTCATGCACTATTTTGTAAGTGTTTTTACACTAACGGGCATACTTTAAGTTGTTATTCACTGAAAATGTCTGTTTTCTGCCTCATGTAGTGATGTCCATGAGACAAATTAGTTTGAATATGCGCTTAAAGGGAAATTTGGTCTTTTCCTCAAATAAAGGGAACCTTGTATGACTTCAGAAGACAATATAGAGCATTAGTAATATGGACCAGGGATTTTCAAACTTTTTGATGCCACAGAAACCCCAATTATGATGATCCCCTTTCGAGGGACCCCTTTAAACCCCTAAAATATAAAGGCATCTATATATTTTCAGCCCCGTTTACACTGTTAAAAATACAAATATTATATGCAAAATTATTTCTATTTTATATGTTTATATATATATATATATATATATATATATATATATATACACG